AGTGCTTATGAGGCAGCTGGGGGTTCATGGGAGTGTTGTAAATGGAAGTTAAAGAGAAGGAGTCACAGAGCTGGCACCTAGAACAACAAGCATGAAAATGGATTACTATGCCTCAAAGAACCATGCTAGCTCACACAGCCCTCTAGAATGAGAGTGTGAACCAGCACCTCCTGTCAGCTCTGTAGAAACGTCCTCACTAATAATAGGTTGAGGCATGGCAAGAGAGACAAATAGCACATGCTGAACTGGCCCTCAATCTATTTTGTGATAGTGTAGAAACCACTGACACTCCCCTTTTATTTGTATAAGTCCTCAAGGTCCTTAGGGTTTCTGAAAAATTCAGATGTAGAAGGCTTTACGAAGGAAATAATGAATTTCTTGTTAATAAGGCAGTGACTGTGAGAGTGGACAGGTGGAAGGAATGGGGAGAAGCTTAATGACTACTTGGAAAACCAATATATTTTACTGCAAGTGAGCCTTGATTTATGGAGCAATTAATTTAAATTTGATAACTATATGTTCACTATTTTTAAAAAAATTCAGATTTTTTTCACATCATTTCTTCTCCCACAGACGCAACATTTTTTTAAGTACTTAAGGATAAACTGTAGAAGCCCTCTCACCTCACCTAATCAATATAGTTGATTATCTCTAAAACTCATAAAGCAGAAAAGAATGACTCGTCTGAAATTTAATATTTTTTTAAGACAGAGGAAAATTGATTAAGCAAAGGAAACAGTCTTAAAAAATAAGTGACTACCAGAGGAATGTCTATGTTTCATTGGCTATGCAAAGACGTTTGACTGTATGGATCACCACAACTGTGATAACTTTGAGAAAAACAGAAATCCCAGAATAAGCGATTGTGCTTACACAAAACCTATACTTGGACCAGGAGACAGTTGTCAGAACAGAGCAAGGAAACACTGCATGGTTCAAAATCAGGAAAGGTGTACTCCGGGGATGTGGTCTGTTTTCATACCTTTTCAGTCTGTATGCAGAACAGACCATCCAGGAGGCTGGGCTCTATGAGGAGAAATGTGACATCAGGATTGGAAGAAGACTCACTAACAACCCGCATTATGCAGATAACACAACCCTGCTTGCTGAAATTGAGGAAGACCTGAGGCATTTGTTGCCAAAGATCAAGGACTTGCAGTCTTCAATATGGATTAAAGCTCAACATGAAGAAAAGATTCTCACCACTGGGCCTATTGACAGCATCATGATAAACAGTGAAGAGACTATGATTGTTAACAGCTTCAATTTGCTTGGCTCCACAATCAACACACATGGTACCAGCAATCAGGAAATCAAAAAAGGAATTGCATTGGGAGAATACAATGTCTGGGACTTCACCAGAATACTAGAGAGCGATGATGTCAGTCTGGAGAGTAAGGTGCACCTGATCAGGCCCCAGTCTTTGTAATTGTGTGCTATGCATCAGAAAGCTGGAAAATAACTAGGGACAATAGAAAAAGAATTGATGTCTTTGAGTTGTGGTGCTGGAGAAGAGTACTGAATATACCATGGACTGCTAGGAGAACAAACAGGTTCATCCTGGAGAAGGTGAAACCAGGCTGCCCCGTGGAGGCAAGGATTCTGAAGCTTCGTCTGGCAGACATACTTTGAACATGTTACCTGGAGAGACCAGTCCTTGGAGAGGGACATCACGCTTAAGGGTGTGGAGGGACAGCTCAAGAGAGGAAGACCTTGAATAAAATGGATTGACTCAGTGACTGGGGTAATGGCAGTGGGAATGTCAGAGATGATGAGCTCAGGATAGAGCAGAGTTTAGAGTTGTTGTACACTGAGCTGGTGTACATAGAGTTGCCAGCATCTTGAAGGAACTTAACAATAAGCAATAAATCTTGGAATAGATAGGTGAGAAAAGGCCTCTGTAATTTAAATATTTTGTCTCAACTCATTTAAGCACGTCCAGGATGCAAGTGATCTGAGGTGGTTTAAACAATAAGTTTAAAGCAGTGGTTGAGGTAGTTTGGACAAGTACTAGGCAGGAAGGATGCTTGGCAGGGGTTTTCCATAATGGCAGGATATTTAACACTTCTCAGAGCAGTTTTTGTCCTCATTCTGGTTGTCAGGTATAACTGGGATAGAGGGGAAACCAGATAAAATGAAGTAGAAGGGGGCCAGGTACAAAGCAGTGGAGAGGTGTCCAGTACAGGGAGTGGACCGGGCTATTGTCATAAGTTCTGGTTGCTAAGCATGAGGGAGAGGACAATAGTTTGTAGAAAGCATCAGGTTCTGAAGCCATTTGTTCATGTCTCTTAATAAGTATATATACTCTTTCTCTCTCTCATTGTGGTTGAGACTGACTCAACCTTACGCTCCAAAGGATTTTCCAGAGGCTGTAAATTTTCTCCCTTGGAACAGCTGGTGGATTCAAACTCCTCAGGTTTTGGTTGACAATGCAAATTCCTACCCAGTAGGGCACCACAGCTCCCTATGTGTATACACCACAAATCTAACTATAATTGAGTAGTTAAATTCTAATTACTTAAATGAGGAGCAGAAGTTTAGAGACATTGGCAAAATAATCCAAACATATGATCTGCCTAGGCTTTAATAAAAGTTTTCTATGATTCTTTTATTCTTACTTAATCTTTGCAAAACACTAGATCTGACTGTGTCAGAGACAATCTTTCATGCAATTATGAACCAGTTACATAATACAAAATTATATTTCACAAAGAAAATTAATTGAACAGTAAATAGAAGCATCTAGGGGCTGAAACCTACAAGCTGACTAACGAGAAAGTGATCTTTTAGGCTTGCATGTTCATTGTGCTATGAAATTAAGGAGTTTACAGAGGAGAAAAGCATATTCATTAACTTTTATCTGGAACATTTTCCTTATTTGTTCATAGTTTTTAATTTTTTTATAACTTGTAAGTATGGAGAATTTTTTTCTGGACAAGGCTGAGGAAGCAAGCAGTGAAAGGATGTAAGGAAAGTTACTGACTCTCCAAATTAGAGAGCAGGTCTTTTACTGACTAGTTCATTCACATATTAACTAAGATTCTCAGTTGTTCAGATGAAAAACCCAAAGCACAAAGTCTTAACAGTTTTAAAAATCTGGTCTCAAATTATGTAGCTTGAAAACTACAGAGTTGTGATTTAAAGTTAGTTATGATTGGAGTTTATTATCACTATCATTCCAAGAAAAGGTTAGATTCCTGTACCTTTTATATTCTGGCTACTGTAGGAGTTGTTGTTGTTGTTGTTGTGTGCCATCGAGTCAGAACCAACTCATAGCTGACCCTCTGGGTTTTCAGGGGTGGTAAATTGTATGGGAGTAGATTGTTCATCCTTCTTCCATGGAGCAGCGTATGCCTTCAGATTGCAACACAGCTTTGTTACTACTAGGCCACTAGAACTTTCTATTGTAGGAATAGTCAACTGAATGTTTAAGATCACTTCTGCCTCTTCACAGCATTACATTCAACTTAAGTAGCATGTATGAAAACGACATTGACTTATTGCCATGAGTCAGAACCAATTCAGAGCTGACCCTGCATCTGTAAATTTCCAGAAAGGAGTTTGGATAAATTTTTCTTGTGGATTGGAAATTCCAGTGACATGTGGTCTTTGGGGTAGCAGTACGAATCCCTATAGACCAGGCCACCAGGGCCCCAAAAGGCCATTAGTGGTTGTTTTAGTCTGTTATTAAAAGAAACTATCTTCTGGAAGACTTAAACAAATCATCATGTAAAGACAAAAAGAATAAATTAGGATTTTTAATTAATGTATCTGTAAAATCTATTAACAATATTTTTGAAAAGTCTCCGAAAAGATTGACCAATATTTTGGTTACTGAAAAAGAGTTTCCCGCTATTGAAATCTTGTTCTACCCTTCAGGTTCAGTTAAAATTTCACTCTCCTAGGCTCATGTACTCCAAAGGTTTTTTCTTTGAGAAGAAAATAAATAATTTTTGTCCCATGACACTTTGGTACCATAATCCTATATGTCTTTAACAATTCTGGTTATCTTGTTGTTGTTGTTGTTATGTGCTGTCACATCACCTGTGACTCATAGCAACCCTATGTACAACAGCCCTAAACTCTGCTCTATTCTGTGCCAATCTTATTGTTTCTGACACAACTACCCCATTACCCCAGTCACTGAATCAATCTACCTCATAGAGGGTCTTCTTCTCTTGTGCTGTTCCTCCAGTCTCCCAAGCAAGAGGGCGCTCTCCAAGGATTGTTCCCAAATTGCAACTTGTCTAAAGTATGTCAGAGGAAGCTTCAGAAACCTTGTCTGCAAGAAGCAGCCTGGTCTCATCCTTTCCAGGATTAACCTGTTTGATCTCTTAGGAATCTATGATATATTAAACACTCTTCTCCTGCACCACAGCTCAAAGGCATCAATTCTTCTTCTATCATGCCTAGTCAATGTCCAGCTTAATGATGCATAGCAAGTAGTTGCAAAGGCTAAAGCCTGGATTAGTCACACTTTAGTCTCCAGACTGACATCATTGCTCTTCAATACTTTGGAGAGGTTATTTTTTTTAAATTGTTTCTTTCTACATCTTCTTTCTCCTACTGCCATAAGCTGTGAAATTATTCACCTTATTTTATTTTTCTGAGGATGGTACCTAACACATGGTGCATTTGCTATGAATTTCTGTGTTCTGGATAAGATTTTCCAGTAACTTCAGATTGAGTCCTCTCAATTAAAACAGGACAGTCTGTCAGCTGTCAGTCCTTTCAGCTTTGTTTTCGAGGTTTTCTTTGAAAAGCTATCCGATTCTTCAGGCAAGCATGAGTCCTATTTCTGATTAAGCATTGGACATTGTAACCTGTCCAATAGTCTGCACTTTTTCTAGAATTTAAGGCAAGAAAAAAGGTAACAGTGGCCTTAATCCTTGGAAACATTGTCCAAGTCTTAAACTGATACAGAAACAGAGAAAATGTCATGTCTTTGACTTCTTTCTTGATTTTCTAGTTTTTTGTTGTTTGTTTTGTTTTTTCCCCCCTCATATAATCTTGCTTGCTACAGGTATTCCCAGAACTCTTTTCAGTGCAGTCTTCACCTCCTGGTTTCTCAGACTGTAGACAAGAGGGTTAAGTAGGGGAGTGACCACAGTGTAGGTCACTGCCACCAACTGATCCTTGTCTGAGGCTGACTTCGACTTGGGCCGAAGGTAGATGATGGAGGCACAGCCATAGTGAACAAAGACCACAGTAAGGTGGGATACACACGTGGCGAAGGCCTTTTTCTTTCCCTCGGCTGATGGGATCTTCAGGATGGTGTTAACAATGAAACCGTAGGATATTAGAATTAACAGAAAGGGCACCATGATCACCAGGATGCTGAGGCTGAATAATGCCAGTTCTTTCACATGGGTGTCCGTGCAGGCCAACTTGATAACAGGTGCCATGTCACAGAAATAGTGGTTCACTCTGTTGGGACCACAGAAAGGCATGTCACAGATGAGGTTGGTGGCCACCAAAGTGATGAAGAACCCTGTGAATCCTGACAGAGAAATAAGCCCTAATCCTAGTCTTTTGTTCATGATGAGTGTGTATCGCAGGGGATGGCAAATTGCCACATAGCGATCATACCCCATTACGGCAATGAGGAAACAGTTGGTACAGGCAAAACCAAGGAAAAAGAAGAGCTGGGTGGCACATGCCACAAAGGAGATGATCTTGGTGGTTGAGAGCAAATGCACCAGCAGCTGAGGGATGATGACAAATGTGTAGCAGGATTCTGAAAAGGAAAGAATGAAGAGAAAGCCATACATGGGAGTATGCAGTGTCCGGCTGAAGCGGATGACAATCATGATGGTTGCATTGGCCACCAAGATTGTCAGGTACAGGAGGAGGAAGATGACAAAAAGCAGCAGCTGGAATTCTCCCAGGCTGGAAAAGCCCACCAAGATGAACTGTGTGACCACGGTGGTTCTGTTGAAACCTTGCATCTAGAAGGCTTACTGTAAATGAATTTGGGAGAGACAAATTTATAACTATTATTATAACAAGAACATTTCCCTAATTCTTCAACTTTAAATATACCATGTTGTTTACATCCACAAACCAACCAACCAACCAAAAACCATTGCCATTGAGTTGATTACAAGTACAGCAACCTATGGGACAGAGTAGAACCACCATAGGGTTTTCAAAGCTGTGAATCTTTATGGAAGAAGGTTGGGACCCCTTTCTCCTGAGGAGTGGTTAGGGTGTTTGAACCAATAAATTCCCTTTGGTGACTTTTATAAGAAATGATTAATTTCTCATAAAGGAGGAATGATTATAGAGATTTACAAAAGCTAAAAAGAATCAAATACTCAATATTGAATATTGAATGGGCAAACTCCTTCCATGTGATTAACTGCCTCTGAAAACCTGGCGAGTCCACTATGGGTCAGGCCTGACTCAATAGTATACAGTAACATCTAATCATAAAGACGCTCCAGTGGCTGAGTGGTAAAGGGTTAGCCTGCTTCCTCAAAAGCATGTGGTCTAAATCTACTGGTTGCTCTGTGTGAGACATACGAGCAATCACCTCTCATGCGATTTACTGTGGTAGAGGACTAGCTATGAGTCAATTCCCACTCCACAGTACATACAACAGTAGCATCTAATGATGAGGCATTTCTCCATTATTATATAAGTGAAAAGACAGGATACAAAGCTGTATATATAAAACGTTAGTGATAGTTTTGACTTTCTGATATATTTTTCAAAAGTCTAGCAAGAAACAATTTAATAATTGATGGCCTACTGGCAAGAAATTGCACTGCAATCCCAAAGGCATGTGGTTTGAGGCCACCAGCTGCAATCTCCTCCCGTGTGATTAACTGCCTCTCAAAACCTGCCAGAGGGTCAGCTATGGGTTAGTTCTGATTATACGGTGCATAACAACAATGAATATATTCTATACACCCCAATTTATATCTCTTTTAAACTGCTGTCCAAACATAAACAAGATTTATCTGCTGCTTCTAAAAAAGGATGTTATTATTTTTGAGAGTAAAAAGAGTTTCCTTTTGGAATACCCAGTATATAAATTATGCATGCTTTTGGTAACACCCATTTGTGTAGATGATTATTCATAGCATTGTATACTTTGTTGTTGCTGTTAAGTGCCTTTGAGTTGCAGGTGACTCATAGCGACCCTATGAAGGAGAGTCCTCGACGCTTGGGCCTTTCATTCTCTCACCAGGTTCACAGGGTTTCCGGAGGCAAGCTATTACCGAAGTGGATGCCACTTCTCCTTCCAATGGATACTTTGGTCCCTAAAAATACATCAGTGGCATGCTGAGATGGAGGTCAATATATGAGCAACCAAATAAAACAAACAGGCTCAACAGTAAATGTAAATTTTAAGTGCAATAGCAATTCCCGAATGAAAATAGAGAATCCAACTTCTATCATTTGAGCTAAACCAGAAAGTATCTTTGAGGCATCAGGATGAAAAGAGTGACTGAGGAAGGGAGGGGAGAATTGCTCATATTAAGATTTATATACACATTTACCTTGTTGGGTTTTGTTTTTTTCTTAGTGGATCGTAGCATGAACAATATGTGCTAGACTACTAACCTAAAAGTTGGTAGCTCAGAATCATTTAGCAGTGTCAAGGAAAAGAGAAATGTGCAGCATGGATGCTCTGTAGCATGTGTTATCCCAAGCTAGAATGGACTGAGTGGCAACTTTTGACCTTAGTGGTAGAACAGGAATGCTATTGGCCCTACTATGGTTCAGGAAACAGACCATCTCCTCAAGCTCTTTTGAAACTTTCTATTAGTTCATATAAGAAAAAGCATATGCAACTAGTTTTTTAAAAAACATTGATTTTTGTACATTCATATAAATTATGTTTATAATATTAATTATAATTGATCAATGCTTTTTCTCACCACCTCTCATCAAATCCTTTCTGCATCTTGCCTATTCCTTCACCCCACTCATCCATGCTCTTTTCTCTGTTGTTTCTCTCTTTTCTTTATTTTCCCCCCTCCTTCATCTCCCCTTCACCCTCCCGTTTGAACTGTTAAATGTGTTCTGTTCTGAATTGCTAGTTAAGTGTCCTCAAATACAGCACAGATAATAGTGACACTATCAACAATAGATCTTCCATCTGTCCTATCTTGTGTCATCCTATCTTCCTCCACACATTTTAGTCTATTGCTGCAGACATTTTATGAATTCATTTTGTTGAGATCTCCCTCTCCTTTGTGGATTCTCCACCTTTCTAAGTATGATATTCCTTTCCAAGGAATAACTTCTCCTAACAACATATTCAGATATGTGAGACAAAGATTCAATACCATTGCCTTTAAGGAACATACTGCACTTTCTTCATGACATATATGTTTGTTCTTTTGGGAGTCCACGAGATATTCAGTACCCTTTTCCAACACCACAACTCAAATGCATTGATTTTCTTCTGTTGTCCTAATTGTCCAACTCTCAGATACATAGCAGGCGACTGGAAAGACTGCGGCTAGAATGAGTTACACATTAGTATTAGAGTGAGTTGATAATTACAACATCTTCACTTTCCACTTGTCCATTCTTCCCAGGTTAGTGCTGACTTCACCTGACACGTTACAGCAGTGTTTGTTATCTTTACATTGTGTTTCTGCTCTCCCCATCTGCCTTCCCTCTAAATTATCCTTCTGCTTTCACAGGAGCAGTTTTACATATAGTTTTTGTGGGTTTTTTTTTGTTTTTGGTTTTTTTGTGTGTGTGTGTGTGTGTGTCTCAGTTATTTCACTCACTATGCTTTTAAAAAGCAAATGTTTTGGTTTGTTTTTTAAATTTTGTAAAATACTGTTAAATATGTGTTTCTTGTTAGAAAAAGGGTACTATCATGTCTAAACTATTTTATTTCTAAAAATATTCAAAAAATGGGAAAAATAACATATTTTAAAATATAGTAATATTTGTTCCTTATTTTTAAACTTGCCATCAGTTCTGGTATTCTTGCTTTTAAAATAATAAATTCTTTTTGGAGGCTCTTATCCTATGGGACTATTTACATACACATATCTTTGATAATTGCACATCCACTAGTCTTGATCCTTTCTGCTCCCATTAGAGTTTCAAGGTGTTAGTCTTATTTGAAAATATTTCTTTCAAATTTTTTATATCCTAAACACTAGCTATTTTTTTTTAACTTCTCTTATTTTTTGTTTCCAGTATCCATCTTTTTCTTAGCTATCTCCTGCAATTAAATACCTTACTGCTGGCTAGATGTGACTGTTCTTGTTTCATAGACTAAGAAATTTAAAAGAAGAAATTTTATGAAAACAGGTTGAGGACTCATTTCATGAGCTAAATGTTAGATTTAAAAATATTAAACTCTATTTTTTCTTCTAAGATTTTAATTTAGTCTTCTTTCTTTATATCTTATTTCTTTGGATTTTCACATATTGATTATGATATTTCATGAAGGTAAGCGGTTTATTTTTTAAAAAAATTTCTTGGATTGCATATAATCATTTATAATATATATTGTGTTTCATACATGTAATTTGTGCTTTATATAATAAATCATATATATTGTTTTCTTTCATGTATTTTGTGTTTTATAGTCATTTATATGCATTACATTTTATATAAATAATTACCAATGATCTATGCCTGTTATTACCTCATCTTTTCAAGTCCTTATTGAATCTTTCCCTTCCTTAACCTCTCCTACCCAAACACCTCTGCTCTCTCAGTAATTCTCCCTCTCTTTTTTCAGCTTCACTTCACTCATTCTTCTTCCTCTTTTGAAAAATTTATACATATCTTGCTTAGTTATCTCATGTTCACAATAGTGGTCTCGTGTGCTCAAAATATTCATCAACAAATGAATGGATTGGGGAATTGTGGTACATTCACACAATGGAATACAATGCAGCATTAAGAAACAATTTTGCAAAATACTATATAACATGGAAGAGTCCACAAAACATTAAGCCAAGTGAAATAACTCAATGACATAAGTGGTATATTTTTAAAGCTTTCGCTTCCCTTCCTGAAAATTCCTCTTTACACTGGAAATCAGTGTCTTTTCCTCCTACATACTTCTTCACAAAGTCTAGTGAGATCAGTATTTCTTGTACTTTTTAAAAAAAGAAAATTTTAGCATAGGACTCTATTTCATGACCAAGATACGCATTGAAAGACTTGTGCCTCTGAGATGTGATCAACAGAAATTATCTTTTATTTGTTGAGTTAATAAGTAAATAAAATAGTTAATTTACACAGGTCTTCGCAATATATCATTGAGCTTGAAGATTTTTATTGTAGATCATATACCATTTATCTATTCTTGGCTACTTTCCATTCTGTTAAGGCCATGTAGGTAACATGAATTTAATTCTATAGTACATTACTAATGTTTTTCATTATTTTCCATTTGGCTGAGGCCACGTAGTTCACACAAATTTAACTGTATAGAGCATTACCTTTATATAATTAA